TTCCAGCTCCAATGATGGAGGACACCTCCAAGCAACCTCCAAGAACCCTCAAGATCTCAATCTCTCTAGAAACCTCTCTTTGATGTTTTGGGTCGGAACCCTAAAGAAGAACCATGCAATTCCAAACCCAAACAAGCTCCCCTTCTCTCTCCCAACTGCTGCCTTTTTTACAGCCTGAGCGCCAACATCAATGGCTAAATATCATGGCTGTAATCTCGTCAGGCAGCCCATGATCTCAACCAAAGCTGCACCGTTTTGTGCCCAACTTCACGACTCTTCACAAATATCACGGTCTGTGACCGTGATCATGACACTATTTGCCAGGCGTGCGAACTATCCTGGAGCACATGCAGAATTCACGACCTAGGATCAATCTTCAGGGGAAAAGAAGAAGCACAAAATTATACCTAGATTATAGAGGAAACAGACATGGTGGAAAGATTCATCTGCTTTTGAGAGCTTCAACAGTGTTACAGTTTCTTTAGGACTCTCTCCCTCTTGAGCCACAACCATTCAGTTGATTCGCGACATAAAAGGCGTGGAGACAATGAATTTAGTGGTGGCGCCGACGACAAAGAACCAGTTGCAGAAATGGCTCTCCCCGGCTTTCGTCTCGGTTTCCGTATACGAAGATAGAACACTAGGGCGGACGAAAGCTAAGGCAATTTTCTTTTAACAAACATTGACGCGAGCTGAGCCAATTTTCTTGGGATTGATCAGCTGCGGCTCACCATCGTCCACCATAGTGGGATTTCCTCTAGAGAGATTCAAAAAAAAAAAAAAATGGGGGAGTTTAAAGAAAAGAAATCGAAAACCATGTAGAGCATTAGCGGAAGGAGAAATCGTTAGGTAGAAGCAATAACATAAGGAAATTCTTACTAATTCATCTGTCAAAGCTGAGAACTTCGAGAATCCATCTTGCCGACATTTCCTTCTATCCAAGACCGAAACAAGAGAAGGCAACACTTTTGGACAGTGAAATTGTTGGGCGAGCTTAATCGGCGGTCACGTAAAGTGGGAATAGAGAAAAATGAAGCCAGGGCTGGAGACGAATTGGAGAGAAGCAAATCGGAGGAGTTCGCTGCTTCACTAATCGAGAGGTTTAGGCGATAGCGTGTCCAGGAGAAACAGAATGGCGTACGGACTAGAAAAGCGTGGTCCCTGATTCGGGCCCAAATGTACACATTTTACCCCTCATTTCTTATTCGTTTAGCTTAGTAGATCATCATTCCGCGACATATTTCACGCTAGATTGTGCTTCTTTTGATACATTTCAGGTCCTAGCACTTGTGAAAGGGTCGAGGACGAGTTTCAGGATAATTGGAGGTCAAAAAGCGTAAAAACCGAAGAATGTCCAAACTCAACGTGACAATTGCCCAGTGAAGCTCTGTCGTCTAAGAAGCAGCCGCAATTCACGGTTAGACAAGACAGTTCACGATCTCCCAAGACCATGAACTGGACCTACAAACCATGAAGATCGAGGCGTCCAACGAGGTTTCAGAAGTTACTGACGAGAAGACAGTTCATGGTCTCTGAGACCGTGAACATGGTTCACAAACCGTGAACCCAGGAGAGTGAAGTGGTGCATTTTGGAGACGGAACTGAGTTCACAGACACATTTAGGTGTTCTCGGTCGTGAACTGGCCAACGCGGCCGTGAATAGGTCACTTTCAGGCAAATATGAAGACAACAGCGGGGAGAGAGAGAGGGGAGCTGGTTTTTGGAGAGGAATTGGTTTCTTTCTCTAGGTTTGGAGCCCATAACACCAAAGGGGATTTCTACTGAAATAGAGAGAGTGCTTGAGTGATCTTGGAGCTTAATTGGAGGCTTGGGTTGATCATGAAGATAAGGATTAAAGCCTAGAAGAAGAAGAAGATCTTGGGCCCAATTTGTAATCTCTCTCTTCTCTCTCTAGAAACTCACCCTCTTCTCTTGGGTTTAAGAACCCTAGGTCTAGATTTGGGTTTAATGTTGATGTATGTGACAAACTCCATGATTGATTGATGATTTTACTTAATTGATGGATGTTTTCATGCATGGAGCTTTTGACCTAGGAGAGAGATAATCCACTTAGAACCCCCTTTTGGCTTCTTTGGGTCCCTCCTATCGTATATTGTCCGGGTAGTCCCCGAGGGAGTCTATTCGACCGGTCTCCTAGCATTATAAGAAATCCTAGGTTGAATAGAGCACTACCCATCCATCGATTCACCATTTCAGGTCATTCCCGAGGGAGTCCTTCTCCAAATGGTAGAGTATTTGAGTCAATCCAAGAGACAAACGACTTTCCTATGCGGATGCACCAACCTGACGTGGACCGCCTGGTGTCTTGACACCCTGCATAGATCAGACTCCCTACCAGACTGCGATATAGTGACTGATCTTCTATTAAGTCACCACTGTCTTTCCGCAGCTTCACATTCTGTTCCATTGGAGTCGAGCATGGCTTACAATCTGTATACTGTGCAGTCTCAAGAAGATCTGCAATGTACTTCTTTTGTGAGACAAAAATGCCTTGCTTTGATCTTTGTACTTCCAGTCCTAGAAAGTATGATATGTCTCCAAGATCTTTTAAGTTGAAGGCTTTATGCAGTGATTCTTTTAACTCTTGTATTCCGGCAGAATCACTTCCTGAGATGATCATATCATCCACATAGATCAGCAAAATCACCACTCCTTCAGCTGTATTCCGTATAAATAGAGACGAATCGTTTTGACTCTGTTCAAATCCCAACTGAATTATCGTACTGTGAAATTTTTCGAACCAAGCTCGTGGAGTTTGCTTAAGACCGTAAAGTAACCGAACCAGTTGACAAACCATGTCGGAAGACCCTTTAGTATAACCCGGTGGCCGTTCCATGTAGATTGTCTCTTTAAGATCGCCATGCAAAAATGCATTCTTTACGTCCAATTGTAAAAGTGGCCAACCTTTCATCGCAGCAACCGCAAATATACAACGTACTGTCTGCATCTTTGAGATTGGTGCGAATGTTTCATCATAATCTATACCGTATTCTTGGATAAAACCGCTAGCAACTGACCTTGCTTTAAATCTCTCTATAGTGTCGTCCGGGTTATCTTTATTGTATAGATCCATCAACATCTAATAACCATTTGCCTCTAAAGCTTCTGTTTCTTCCACCATTGCCATGTTCCACCTTGGTTCATCACATGCTTGTTCATATGTAGTTGGGATCACACATGGTTCTAATGCATACCCTTCATAATCGAGTAAACGAAGTGGAGGACATCCCAAGTTTGCTCGAGCTGATCTGCAGGGCTGCTGTTGTGCATTTTCAGCTTCATTAAACCCACCATGTGCACCATTTCCAGAGTTCTCAGACTCACTACCTTCCCCGACGTTGGCGAGCTCCCATGATCTCCCGATGGCGAACTCGAACTAGAGCTTGAGCTGCTCGGCGCAGAGTTGGAGGAGTTTCCCTCCCTGAAGTCGAGCCATGGGAGCTAGACGAGGCCGGGCTGAACGAGCCTCCAGGAGAGTGGTGCGAAAGCGAAAGCTCAGAGTTCCCTCCCTGAGTTCCAATCGGAGGGATGGACGCATCAAAACTCGGTAATGTCGTCAACCAATCAAGGCGAGTGGACCTTGGGGAGTCAGAATCATGCGCAGAAGAAGATGTGGAATAATACATCGTGTTCTCAAGAAAGAAAACATGATAGGCTATGCCGGAATAATACATCGTGTTCTCAAAGCTTAGAACAAGAACACCGAGTTTAACGTGGTTTCCCCGATCAACAGGACTAGTCCACGGGAGAGACAGAGCTCTCCAAGTCAATCATATTACCTTGTTACCCAGTACACACGAGATACATCAATATATATACAGCTTTACGTAACCCTAATGACTAAGGACTTAAAGTATAATTACAAAAAGGTACTTATATTTTCTACAACCAGAAGCCAATGAAGTGGCTCATATCATGGCACACACAGAAATGCAGTGAAATAAAAGTGTGATTTTGATCGACAGAGCACTGATTTATTTGTTAAATCCAATTAGTTCATGCATAAGTGACTTTTTAGTTTTAATATTCGATTCTCTGTCCTATTCTTTTCAAGTTAGGGACTGTCGATTCTCTTTAGTCATTGATGCTGCTCTCACAATACCCACACATCTTGCGACTATGATGGACATGATCATTTTGCATCATGATATATAAACATAGTGAGATCTAGGATCTACCTCGAGTTTTAAGTTTTTTTTTATACATGACACAAAGATTTAAGCAACCATGAAGAATAAGCCTTGCATGTAAAAAGACTCCACATGTTTTTATCAACAAACCAAATCGAACATAAAAGATATTCAATAAAATAATTTAAATTCTAGAAATGATAATCTATTATGTCATATTCAATTTTCAGAAGAAAAAAGAAATCAAATAATCCTAGCACGGGCTAAATAACTAGTTACTTATCAAATCTGAAGTGTAAACCCCATGTTGGGCAATAATCCGCAGCCGCAAACTCTGAAATTACGTACTCCGACTTAATTAAGAGAAGCAAAATCACTATAGACTTTGATTCGTACTTGTCCTAAGCGTTGAGACCAGACCATATTAGTTATGCATTAAAGCCAATTCAAACATTTGAGTTGGAACAGCAGACCGACACCGCCCCACATCAGACTTCTCCTCATATACACATTCAATTCACTCACCAAACTATATTGATGGTGGTCAAACCTTTGAATTCTCTCGGATCCTATCCTATATAGACAAGTAAAAAAAAAAAAAAAATCGTAAGCGTGCATATGTATCCAGCCACCCCACGACTTTCGAGTTCCCAAGATTCATATTATTACGTACGTGCAAAGAAAAAAATAATCCCATGTGCTAGCTAGCTAGCTAGCTCTTCAACCGTTGAACAGGAGAGGCTGCTATAAATATCTCATCACCAATTAATTGCCATTCCCCATCGCAAATATCTTTCCAGCTAATCCGCAAACGATCGAGAAAAAAGCTCCGATCCGATGGCTTGGAGAATGCTAGAGGCAAGCTTGAGGTTGGTTGTGCTATTCATTGCGATATCCGCATCTGCAGCCCAAACCCCAGCGATCCTGGACACGAGCGGGCAGCCCCTGAGACGCGGGGTGGACTACCTCATTCTGCCCGGCGTGACCGACGTTGCCGGCGGGCTCACGCTGCAGCCTCGCAACGCAACTGCTCGCTGCCCGCTGTTTGTGGCGCAGGAGCCCCTAGCCCAGGTGGTGTCGCAGGGGCTCCCGGTCTCCTTCGCCCCCTTCGCGGCCGGGGAGAATATGGTCAGGGAAGGAAGGGACCTGATAGCTACCTTCTCGGCGGCCACCACCTGCGTGCAGTCGACGTCGTGGAGGATCGGCGAAGAGGATGCGCAGAGCAGGAGGAGGTTCATTGTGACGGCCGGGCAGCCTTCCTACTTCCGAATCGAGAGGAACGCCACCACCAATGCGTACCAGATTGGGTGGTGCCCCGGGGAGTCGTGCCCCAACTGCGGCAGGCCTAGGTGCGGAGCTGCTGGCATTTTGATTCGCGATGGGAGGAGGTTCTTGGCCCTCGATGGCCCTGCTTTTCCTTTCCGTTTCAGGAGGGCTTGAATATATATAGAGTAAAATATTGGGTGCGATTCCAATATAGTAATATTTATTATTAAATAAAATGTTGTGATAGATTGTTATCTCAACGCTGAGTATGTATATACTCATATATTCATTTCAAGTTTAAATCTATTTCAAGGGTTAGTAGTATAAATTGTCTCTACACTATGTTATGGAAACACTACAGGAAAAAGATCATCTAATTACGGTAAATCTTGTGTTGGAAAGTGTGTTTCCCGTTTTAATAGTTTTAGTCACACCAAACCTATCGTAATTGTATATATTTGCGCGTGTCTAATTGTAAAGTTCACGAGAAATTTGTACCGTGACTATTGATCACGGGAATCCCTGTGACTAATATAAAATTTTGCCACATAAAAGCGACAAAAAAACTCAACACAGTATTAACCGCGTTCCCTTGATCAGATGCCAATCAATAGTCACGTTATTTGGTCGATTCTCCCGTGTCTAGATACTAACAATCAGTTATGGTATTTTTCTATGCCCAATTATCGAGAACTAGCCACAATATTTTCCCATGATGCATAAAATGTTGTATCTTAACATACAAATATAAAGACCAACTTTTATGGCATGATATTCCAACATTATTGTCAATACAATTTTTTCAAATATCATTTATTGATTAATGTTCATTAACATATAATTGACAAGGCTAATTATTGTACTATGAAAACTCCAATATAATGAAAGTCAATTACAAATCCAATGCGTCCGATCAAATCATCTAAAATTATCCAAATCTTTGGTTTATACTTCTACCAAATATTCTTGAATAGCTACAATATCCATCAACTCCCCAATCTTCAAGCCTTTCTCGTCCCGACAAAACATAGTAAAAAACTTAAAATGAGTCTCTATTTTTCAAACACATACATTCGTCAAGGTAGGCCAATACACTCTATAATATCCTCTACATTGTGAAAGACAACCTGAAACATGCACAACTATGCCTAACCAGAACAAGCAGAACACACAATCGAAGAGACAACTAAAGTTAATTATTTACCAGAATTAACTAGAACACCCAAATTATTAACAAAAGACACCCAAAATTTTGCCTATTATGACATAACATTCTTGTCATAGTTACGAGATCAAATACTCTATTTAATTTGTGACGACCCCATTTTTGTCCTGACATATTTAATATGACAAATCTTGTTTAGTCATCAGCTTGTTTTTTCGTCAATATTATGTGAAATCATGTCAAGTTATTTTTTTCATTATATATGGATATTATGAGAAACCTAAATCATTCAATATCTGGATAATTTGACATCGTAGTGAGATCACTATTTTGTCACAATACATTTATCATGACATAACATTCTCGTCATAGTTACGAGATAAAATACTCTATTTCATTTGTGACGACGCTATTTTTGTCATGACATATTTAATATGGCAAATCGTGTTTGTTTGCAGCCCTATTTTTTCGTCAATATTATGTGACTTCATGACAAGTTATTTTGTCATTATATATGGATATTATTAGAAACCTACTTTGGAGGCAACGGCTTGTTTTAAATATATAGTTTCTATATTTCCAATGATATGCTTTTTTGACCCAGAAGAAGTCATTAAGGTTGTTTTCCAAAGCCTCAAAGTTGCTACCTCAAAACTGGAAAACTGCCAAAACATGGCCAAGGCAGAAAACTGTTTTCTGAAGCCTACTTTGGAGCTCAATTCAAGAAGCATGGATGGGATTCAAGTCAAAAGGCTTCTACAACATGAAAGTAAGAATGTTTATCTACCAAGGGAAGGAATCAGATGAAAGATTGGAGTTCTGGAAGGCTTCGAACGAAAGGTGCGAAGTTAGTAAGAAAGTTGCCTTTTGACTGTTTTGCTGACAGATTACTTGTGCGCAAAGAAAGTATGTTTGTGGCCGAGTTTTGTACTGTTTTTAGAGTTTTTTTTACCTTAATTGTTTCCTAGTTACAGTAGGTTTGTATTAGGTTTTTATTGCCTCTAAATAGCTTTCAATTTCACGTTGTAAATCATCCAAGTTTGAGTTGAATAAAATTACTCCTACTTGAGTTTCGAGTTCTTTGAGTTGAGAGTGCTGAATCGAGTAACTGGGTTTTTGAGAATGGGCCTTGGCATTGTGAGAATATCCCCTTGTTCATTCGAAAATGGGTCCCGATCATTCAATTGGTGAAGCTTGAGAGTTCTAAGCTTCCGATTTGGGTTAGGATCAGAGAGTTGCCGTTGGAGTATATGGCGGCGGAGGGACTGAGTAGAGTTGAAAGTCTGTTGGGTACTCCATTGTGGACGGATCAAGCCACGAAGTTGGGGGCTCAGATGGGTACAACAAAGCTGTGTATTGAAATGGCAGCGGATTCTCAGTTCCCCAATGAGATTCGGATTCGTCCAGAAGGTGAGGAGCGTTCGCATCTGTTTGTCCATTATTTCACTATCCCAGCGCGTTGTGCTCAGTGCGCTGAATTTGGTCATGAGATGGGTGCCGGTTTGGAGTGTAGAGCACTGCAGTAGGAGCTGTTGGCAGTGGCTATTTCAGTGCAGGTAGGTGATAAGGGTAAAGAAGTGGCTGATGGTGAGTCTTCTTCGATCAGTACTGAAGGAGGTAATCCAAAGGTAGCAATGGTGGTTTAGAGTAGTTCCCTGCCCCAAGCAAGTTCTGCAGGTAAGCCAATGGGGGCTAAGGAGGGGGTGGTTACTGCTAGCTCTTCAACTCCAGCGAGGGTTGATTTACTGGATGAGGATGGGTTTCAGTTGGTTGTCCGGAAGGGTAAGAATGGTTTAGGTGGCAGAGAGTTAGGCAGTAGTGTGTGGATTCCTGTGTCAGCTGTTCAGGCTCGGGTTCCATTGAATAATAAGAGTATTGAGTTGATTATTCCTGCCTCTCCAAAGAAAGGTGGGAAGAACAGGAGGAAAGGTAAATGAGGTTATTGTCCTGGATCTCAGGGGTTTTAATGGCCCTGAGAAGCATAGATACGTAAATAAACAGGTAGCTAGATTACAAATAGTATGTTTGCTATTTTGGAAACTAGAGTATTGGAGGGTAACTCTGCAGATATATTAAATAAACAGTTTAGTAGTTGGAAGCGTATGAATAACTACAAGTATTCTCAGTCTGGAAGGGTATGGTTGTTCTGGAAGCCTTCATTGCAAGTCAGTGAGGTGGATATGGATGAGCATTTTATTTCTGTTCGAGTTGTTCAAGGGAGTGAAGCGTGTTTGGTCACTGTTGTCTATAGTCCCAACAAGGAGGCAACAAGGGCTGTGTTGTATGGAAGGCTGAGGGGAAGCATAGGTGATGAGCCTTGTCTTTATATTGGGGACTTCAATGCTATCATTGATAGTAGTGAAGCGTCTAATAACCCAGTTTTGAGTCGAAGTATGCTTGATTTTCGTCACTGGATATTGGAAAGGAAGTTGGTTGACCACAAGGTACTAGGTTCTTGGTTCACATGGTGGAATAAACAATCTCAGAATCCCATTGCCCGTCGAATTGATCGTGCTCTAGTCACTGAGGCCTGGTTGGATCAGTTCCCTCATAGTTTGGTTCAGACTATTGCTCCAGGAGTTTCTGATCATTGTGGAATTTTTGTGCAGACGAATCCAGTTTTCACATGTTTGCCAAAGCCTTTTAAGTTCTTCTTATTCTAGAGAAAAAATCCTCGGTATAGTGATCTACTGAAGAAGGCTTGGCAAACTGAGGTCACTGGTGATCCTTATCATATCTTGTTTTTAAGGTTGAGGGATTTGAAGGGGAAGTTGAGGGAGCTGAATAGAACTGCTTATTCTGAAATCTCTGTTCATACAAGGGAGGCTGAGGAGAAACTTGAGGGGATGCAGAGGGATTTCCTTGCTGGTCCTACTGATGCTCAATTTCAGGCTATTTTGTTTCAAGAGAAGCTATGTAAAGAATTGAAAAGCGCATAAGAGGTTTTCTATAGGCAGAAGTTTAGAGTTCAATGGATTACAAAGGGAGATGCTAACACAGGGTTCTTCCATGGCATGGTCAAAAACGTGCGAACAATAGCTAAATACCTAGTGGACAATAACTGTGATGGGAACCCCAGAGGAGAATAGATGTAGACACAACATTTATGAACACAGAGGTTCATGAATGAAATCTTGACCTTTTCTGTTTCGAGTTTGATATCCGAGTTTGTTTATGATTAGATAGTTAGTATTAGTTTGTTAGCTAGCCTAGGTCTATTTAAGGTCATTCAATTTCATTGTAAACGGAGTTTTTGATCAATTGAATACAAAGTAGAGCTTTGATTCATCTTGCTTGTGGGCTTGACGAATTGAGTGATTTCTTAGAAGGATTCTAGGCAATTGTTAGCTTGTATCGATCAGCTCATCCCGCTGCTCGTGGCCAAGCCTCGTTTATCTATTTCGAGCCTTTCTCCGCGTGAAGAATTGCACGAAATCGACCATCTCCATCACCTTTCACCCCTGTTTTGTTTGAGTTCGAGAACTGAGTTGAACACAATTCGTTGTTGTGCGATTCTGGATACAAAGACCCATCTAAGGCTCATCGAGTGGCATCAGAGCCTTGGTTTTACACAAGGACCAGGAAGATGTTGGCGGCAACGGATAGCGTGACCGGGACGACACGTTGGACGAGATCGAAGGGTCCTGTTTCTAGTAATCCTACGATTCGTTGTATTTATCAAACTAAGGAGAAGGAGGCATCGATGACTGGAGAGCAACCCCTGACATTAGCATAGTTGGAGCGTTTCTTCCTAGACCAATTTGATCGGGTGAATCAATAATTGGCTGAGCTGTAGCTAAGAACCAATCACTCTGCTCCGCCGGAGGAGGAAGCAGAGCACGACGGGGACGACGAGCCCAACTTGGTAGGGCAAATTGTTCGGTAAACCCGAACCGAACCGAAACCGAATTAATGCTATTCGAATCGGAATTCGGAAGGAAAATATGGATAGTTCGAAAATCAGGGCTCTTTCAACCGAATTTCCGACCGAAAAACCGAAATACTATAA